TAAAGTCGCGAGTATCGCTAAGATCCCACGTCCAACTGACGTGAAAGCGTTAAAGTCATTTTTAGGAGCCGCATCATATTTCAGGCGTTATTTGCCGCGTTTCTCAATAATAGCTACACCGCTTAACAATCTCCTAAGCAAAAACACACCGTTTGTGTGGAGTGAGGCTCAAGAACAGGCGTTTCTTGCTCTCAAGAAAGCCCTAGTTGAAGCACCCTTATTAGCTTCTCCTACATTTGGAGAACCGTATATTATACATACGGATGCATCAACTACAGGCTTAGGCGCATGTCTGCTTCAATACAGTAAAAAGACGCAGGGAGAACATCCTATAGCGTACTGCAGTCGCGCATTAAATAAACATGAGAAGAATTACGCAGTTATTGAGTTAGAAGCTTTGGCGATAGTTTTTGCGCTGAATCAATTCTATCCCTACGTAGCCAATGCAAAAATAACGCTCATTACTGACCACGCGCCTTTGAAATCGCTAATGCATAGGGCAGATTTGGTTGGTAGACTAGCGAAATACCAGATTGCTATACAAGCCTATGATATCAAAATCGAATATAGGGCAGGTAAGCATAACACATTCTGCGATTTTCTCAGTCGCTATCCTCTGCCCACCATCAATGCGATAGAAGCGCAATCGTTCCCATCTCTTGAAGAGATTCAAGCAACGCAAAGAAATTCAAGTACAGTCCCATCATAAAGTTTCTTACTAAGGAACTAGAGGAGCTACCTGAAGAATTTCAAAGCAAACTGAAAAACTTCTCAATGCATAACGATTCTCTGTATTATAAAATACACGGCAGGGAATTATTGCTTATTCCAGATGAAAGCATGCAAACTAGCATAATTGCTATATTTCATGAGAATCCCCTTCTCGGATCACATCTAGGAATAGCAAAAACATATAAAAGCATAAAAGAGAAGTACTTTTGGCCGAACTTGTATCAAGACGTTACAACGTATATCAATACATGTCCGACATGCCAAAAGGTGAAAACACCTTCAAAAGGTATAATCAGAGAGGAGAATGGGAACTTTCCCTACCCCGACTAGACCTTTTGAACGTGTTCACACAGATATAATTGGTCCGCTACCTCAATGTGAGGACGGCAGTAAATTTATCTCAATCACCGTTTGTGCATTCAGTAAATTTGTAGTATGCACCTCGGCAGACTACTGATACAGTAGTAAAAGCACTGATCAATGATGTTATTTCGAAGCACGGAATCCCTAACGAAATAGTTTCGGATCGTGGTTCGAATTACACTAGCGAGGTGTATGCTAAAATCAACAAAGCACTCGGTATAAAGAATAAATTTACAACTGCTTATAACCATAAGGCTAATGGACAAGCAGAACGACTTGTAAAGGTGAATACTGACTCCTTAACAGCATACTGTGCGGAGGCCAGACACCGATGATTAGATTTTGTCCAGCCACATATAACTGCAGTATCAATGCG